TACACGAAGACGTGTCTGAACTAGTTAAGTGGTCACAAAAAAGGAACCTCCGCATGAACCCCCAAAAATGTAACCACGTAATTTTTTCGGTTTTGAAAAGGCAAAAGTATGATGAATTATCAAACGCCATCCCGCCTTTATCTATCCTCAGTGACCAGATGGAACGACAACCGTCTGTCAAATACCTGGGCATTATTTTCAACCATAATCTCACCTGATCTGACCACGTCAATGACGTTTTTATGAAGGTCCGGAGGCTCACGTTTTATGTTTTACGTCTTAAATCCCTTTCCATTCCAAGCCATCTTACAAGGCATTTTGTTTTTGCATGCGTTTTGCCTCACTGGCTTTATGGGTCCCTTGTTATCTTCCCTGGTCTTTTGAACAAGGAACTCAAACTCATTTCCCGATCCCTGGAATTTCTCTCTTTTTGTAGTCTCATACCGCGGGAACATCTAGTATTCCACCCTCACTCAGTGCCTTTCTCACTCATCCACCCGTTCTTCTCACAATCTTTTAAAGAAACGCACTGAAGCTTACAGGCGGTCTATTGTCCCTTATCTCGCCAGATTTCTAACAAACCATGAACTTCTAGCAGGAAATCTGCGCCAAGTGTTAAACTAAATCCATTCTATACACCCGGATATGCCATTGATTTGATGTTGCTGTCCTTTTTCACGTCCTTTATTTGCTGTATCATATTACGGATGTTGTTTTTTCCACTTTTTGTTGACACATTACGGTTATGCGGTTAGTGAATATCCACCGCTCGAGGTGTATAAAGCCATTCATTGACTTGACCTATACACTCGATATAGGCAGAAAATGGCTGCGACATACGGGCAGCAGAACGAAGTCAAATAAAGTGCCGGTGTTTATCGACAAACGTTATGAATCGAACAATAATCATAAAACGGAAAAAGAAGATTCGAGCCAGATGAGCAACCAAACTATACGCCATGATAGCACAAAGTTAGCAACAGAACAATCTGTTTTCCGGGTTTATTGTCCTAGATACACTAAGTACGGTTCAAGAATTTCGATGCGAACAATCAAGAGTATCCTATCGACATCTGAAGCCGTAGGAACTTGGAACACCGCTATGTGCCCAAAAGCAGGTTGTACACACATTAAAGCTTCCGTAGTACACTTCGTCTTCCCCGTTCATTGCGATTAGAAGTTTCTTCCCTCTTTTGCATTAGGCTACTCATGAGTACCAATCAGGGTTCCATTTCCCAGCATTTAAACTTTGTTTTTTGTGCATCCCAAGGCATCTGTAGTCATTAAATTTATCTAACCCGATAGCGTACTTACCGGACGTTTAATGCTGTGATTACGATATGTGTATTCATAAAGTTGCATTTTCCCACTGACGAAAATCTTCTGAACACTTGCTTTGCGGGTAAAAACCTAGCACCACCAGGGATCCAAATGCAGTCCACCGCACTGTTGACACACGAGATCCCTCCCTACACCACACGCGGTCTGCTCGAAGTTGTGTATTCCTTCTTTCACTGCTGCCCTCCTATATATATAGTTTCGATTGATACCGCCACTTTCCGATTTGCTCGCACTTACTATACCTCATCTAAATCCATCGTACTTTCGTTCCCCATCGTTCTATTCTGAAATTAAAGCGTATTGTAAGCCTTTTTCATACCTTTCCCAATTTGAAATTTGCTGCTGCGCCACTCTTACGCTTAGCGGTCTGCCGGGTAGATCTGGGTCCTACCATTGTTATCACGGACTGCTATTGCTGCCCTGTAATTTGGTTTCTCGCTTACCTCGAACTTACTGTTTGTTTTATTATTACTGTATGATTTTAGAACCACGATTCATACCATTTGTCAATAAACACTGCTTCTTTATTGCGCATCGTTCGGCGGCCCCTAACCTGTAACCGTGATCTGTTCATGTCGTGCGTATAGCTGTCGAGACAGTTACCGAAGAATTTCAGTCCGCTAAGGCGTGACAACACAAAGTTAGCCAGGAACCAATCTGTTTTCCGGATTTATTACTCGTTTTGGAAGGGAGAATCAGAAATTTCATGAAGAAGAAAACTAACTCGGTTTCATACAGCAAGGCACCTTCGTTCCGAGCTGACACCCACTGAGTGAAAACTCGAAAAGGAGCTCAAACTGGCCCAACTGCGCATTAAGAAGTTGGAATTAGAGGTAGCAACCTCCAGATTTATCTGTGAAGCTAAAATGAACCCTTTAAAACAGATCAGTATGCTGGAGGAGGAGCTGTCAGTTATTCCAGGCCACGACTCCGGACTAGGTTCTCCACGGTCTGGCGAGAAGCTGTAAAGGGTCAAGGAATACGCCGAGTTTCTACCAACTTCACACTGCTACCCCGAGGCTCCGACAACCTTCAACAAATCCGGGATTCGTGTTTTACCTCAGAGATCCACCAACCTCTGTGAAACTGTCCAGCTTCTGTAAGCTTGTATGAGCCATTCAGCTGGGACCTGTTCCCTCTCCCACACTTAGCCCAAGAGTTTCGTTAACTCCAAAAGGAAGGCTGAACCTCCATCCTTAAAAACGGAAGGGGAGAGCTCGTCTGGGCCGGAGGCCTTGTGCCTTTTGAGATAGTTTATTTCCCGGGAAATCTCCATTTCAGATGGAGGACTGGCAGCATTTGCGCAGTCGTGCTGTAGGGTGATAGTTCAAGAAAGTGGCGGTATCAATCGAAACTATATATATAGGAGGGCAGCAGTGAAAGAAGGAATACACAACTTCGAGCAGACCGCGTGTGGTGTAGGGAGGGATCTCGTGTGTCAACAGTGCGGTGGACTGCATTTGGATCCCTGGTGGTGCTAGGTTTTTACCCGCAAAGCAAGTGTTCAGAAGATTTTCGTCAGTGGGAAAATGCAACTTTATGAATACACATATCGTAATCACAGCATTAAACGTCCGGTAAGTACGCTATCGAGTTATATAAATTTATTGTACCGTAAGTATTCCGAATGCCCCCTGCCTTTGCGAACCCAGATGAAATTTGTGCAAGCACTTAATCTCCCCTGGCCCACTTCAGCCACTCCAGCAGATGTGTAATCACTTAAACTTTTGATACTGTGATTGATTTCACACCAGCACACGCACGCCTGGTTGGAGCCACAACTGAATCATTAGGACTGGAATCTCTCAATCCCTGTCTGGTTCGTGTTGTTTGTCATATTTGATGTTATGTAATGGCATGATTACGAACAACTGAAAACGAGCTTGTTCGCCACGCTTTTGCTTTCAATTGTTCTGTGAGGCTATTGAAACGATTGTAAGAAACATCTCTTTGGAACAGATAGGTGGTTGGCTCTGAAAGAGCTGCCTATCCAACAATCACCCGGTGTTGCGAACAAGGTTATTGTGACGAAAATACACCCCCTGGATGCAAGTATATGAATGAACCGACAACAGATTACCGGATCCACATGCCTAACGAGCGGCAAAAACCGCGAAACCGGTCGTATGCTTCCAGGGAAATTTTGTTCAATCACTCATATTCTACTTCTCTTAAAAACATTAAAGATCGGTCCTAGCGTCGATTCGGATGAGGTTAGACGCCCCACCCGACAACACCTGATAGAGAATCATCGTAAGGATTCTTTCTTCTGATGATATATTTCACCACTGAATCGGACCTAGATATCGCGACAACACACAACCGGTAACTGTTTCAACTTCGCCGATGAAATACTCTCACTGATGTTGTTCTCTCCAGTAAATTTGCATAGATAATTGGTGGGTTAAATCATTGTCACGTGTGTGAACAGTAAGGTTACGTTGAATGACAACTGCTCCCCTTCGAGACACACGTTGTTCATGCTCTCTGCAAGATGAAATTTGTCTCCCTTAGACTGCTGCATCTTAATTCTAATAATCCGGCCAACCCATTTCCCTAATATGGAGAGTTGCCCATGTCCAAATCGCCTTTGTGTTCGGTGAGCCATACTGTATTGGAGTTATCGTTTCTGTTGGTCGTATTCGCTCGAAAATTAGCGCGTCACTTACTTCATTTAGTTGAACACAGATTAGTTGTTTATATTCCGTTTGTCCTATCTCTTTCCGGTTGAGGTTTTCATAAATGAGGGCGATTTTTATCATTATTGTTTGCATCTTTTCTGTGCAGCCCACTGTTCTCGTATTGAACGTTGTTTATGGGCATAACTGCTAATAACTGAAACCCAGCTTGTGGACCAAGTTGTGTTATTTCTTATCGAAGTTCTCGACCAGTCTGTTACTCTGGTGCTTTTTTTGGAACATTAAACTGTCTCTCGTTTTGCATCCGCCCCGTCTCTGTTCTTTCGATCCCTGGTGGACTACACATTCGATCACAACTCGCATACACACATGCACCGTTCAGTGCTTGGGTTCTGGGCAAATTGGCTCGTCGCGCAGATAATCTGACTGTAACTTGGTTTACCACTGCGTTTCTTCTCAGTCAACGTATGCTCACATTCATTCAGCACTTCCAATACTACATGGCTGTGAAAGTGATCGAGCCCACATGGCTTCAGTTTTTCAACCAATTGAACAAGGTGAGATGTCCCTGTGTGACCCTCATATGTTTGCGTGTATGTATGCTGTTTTCAACACAGAATTTCCTGACGACGGTCGACACACCGAAAATTTTGTCATAGGGTTAGCAGTTCAACACTGCGATTGCATTGTGAAATAGTTCGGTTCGAACGGTCATCATACTGTCTTTATCCAACTAGCTAACTCTGTATCCTCATCTGCTCTAACCGAAAATTTTGTATTGACCTGGTTCTCATTCCCGTATCCTAATCCACTGTTTGTATTTTAGTTGTCAAATCTTGACGCGTTATTAGACGCACATCTGCACTGCTTGGAAGTCTGTATGGACAACTGCCTACTGACTAGTCCTGACCTGATGAGCTTGTTTGGCAAACTGTGCGTGGTCTGTGTGCTGTTTGCCAATTTCGTGCAACACGTGATCGCTTCATCCACCGACGGTTTGAACTTTGGTGCCATGTCCGGGGCAGGAGACACACTGAGCAGACCACGTGATTCCAGTCCGGCCAATTCATCTATCTGGTCCGTGGATGGTGTGCCTCGAGTGCGATCTACCGCGCCCTCCACTGTGTCCGGGGATACAGTTCTGACCAAAGTGAGATTTTGATATTTTCTGTTTTTTTACTCTCTCTCTCTCTCTCTCTCTCTCTCTCTCTCTCTATATATATATATATA